CTTTATTTGCTGAAGTTCATCCAACTTGCTGACACATGCCAGATATTCGTAGACAACACAGATGAGCATAACATGTCATTTGGCGACTGTTTTCTGGAGGTTTCCTTCCAGTCCGCTGTCTTTCCTCTGCAACGCCTATGGTGATCACATAATCGATACCTTGTCAGCTGCTGCTTTAAAGCCTCGTCCTACCGAATGTTTTGCCTAAAGGGCAAATCGAAGAGTGAAGACTTTATCGGCCGAGAATCGTCGAGGGTTCGTGAAAGTGAAACAAATCGTACGCCAGATCACCTGTATATTTCAGAGCACGTACGATCGAAAACATTATTCATCCAGTCGCAGACGTTAAGTGTCAAGTGCAAGCTTAGAGCCAAATCAGGCAGGGTAAAGGCGCAAGTGACCGTCATAACGCCAACTTTCTGCCGGTCGATCTCTTCCTGAAATTTTCCATCACCAGAAAACACGACCCTGAGGTGCTTGAACTCCTCCGCCTGCTCGCTTACGTTTCCATTTATCTGAAAACGCAACGGAGAACGAGAAGGCACTAGGCTTTTTGTTTTATACACATTCACACGTATGCCGGTCGCTTAGCCTCAGCTCTGAACCTTTCCGCGGAACGCTGGAAATCAGTTTTGAAAGATGGCAACAAAATGATGCCGTCTGCAAACAGCTGCTTTCCCGTCTCCTCATCTCCTAAGCAGGTACATCCATCTCTATGTCTGCTTATGCTGTCCATTTATGACTCCATTTAAACAGGAGGAACGAGAGGACCGGCACCTGCTATCAGAATACGGTGATTGGATGGCCCGTAACAGCTGGCCATATATCCCGTATGCTCCAAGGCATGACCAAATACTGTTGCGTGGGGGGATCCGGTCATAAGCTTTCGCTAGGTCCACAGAGCACATATACTCGGATAAGCGTACTCCCATGATTTCTCAACAATCCGGTGCAGGGCAAATATATGGTCAGAGGTGCTTCGACCGGGCCGGAAGCCACATTGTTCTTCTTGTGTTTTGGTGTCACTTATTGCACGGCACCTCCTTTCTAGCACCTCTGAGTAATCTTTACCCGAGAGGCTCAATAAATTAATGCCCTGTTAATTGGTGCATTCACTATGGTACTCTGTTATCCACCAGGGAATTCTTTTCTGACTACAAAGCGGCAATCCAACGCGTTTCAAACAACTTCTTTCCGCCCAGTCTCGAGTCAGCCACTCTCAAAGAGATCCACTTGCTTTGCACTTCAACTGTTATTATTTGGATGTGTTGAAACCTCCGTGATATGTTATTTGCAAGTCTTACCCTCCTATCTGCAGAAGATAATGTTTCCCACTTGATTCTCAGGTTGCTTTTGCCGGCAGATCTTCGCACGGCCCTTCCGTCGTCGTTTACAGCGGAGGTGTCAACAACAAGATGATCAGTTGACAGCTCTGTGCTTCTTTTAACATCGCGCTGTCACTTGCTTCTTTGGAACAGATAGCTACTCCGTTGGTGACTGCTATGGTGGTCATCTTCGAGAGCAGTCAATGTGCTGGTACACGTCGTTTGCCAGAAGGCGTGAAGCAGGTTCTGATCGAAGACTGTTCACATCTACCTCAGTTCCCTAACATCCTACACGGCTCTTGGAAATCCGGGCGACGCCAGAGCCTGTATAACAGTTGATAACGGTGATGCAATGAGGAACAGATGGTTAAGTTTCACCACGGTCCTCAGTGCTACTCTTTTCTCATTAGGGCTTTCGACTGGTGACCGCGGAGTTTTGTTATAATGCCTACGTTGAATTTCCCATTAGGATGCTTACTCTTAAGTGGAACGCTTTTCATGCAAAATATAAATTTTTTTCAGAGATAGTTTCTGGACTTATGCATTGCCAATGCATTAAAAATTATGAATATGGTAAAAATCTTTATAAGGTGTTTTTTGGCTGTTATTTAGTTTGGTGCCAAATCTAAGATGCAGTCATCTAAGACAGAATTACATTAAAAGCCTCAAAATAACCTTCAACCTCAGGTGCTACTGCTCGCTAGACAATCGTTTGGTGCGATATATATATTTAAGACTTCCGTTGCCGCATAGCCGTACGTCCGTGTTTTATTTAACCCCGTATTTTGACCATTTCCCACCTCTTCAACGATACAGTAAGATTTGATTGTGGGGTCTGTGCCAAGTTATTTGCTAAATACAAAAACGGAACTGTGCAAGTGCTGAAATGCATAAATGTCTGAATGATAGGTTGTAACATGCACCTCATGCACGATGCACAACGGATGACCGAATGAGAACCATACTGTAGTCAGTCGAGAATTTACATTCGAGAACAATCAACAGCAAATGGCATTCTACCGTTGGAATAGAGCAGCGACTAGAATTGCCAGCATTTTGCTGTCACAGTTGCTGCCACCTACATGAAACAGAAGCCGCAATGCAGTCGTTGGTGAAATTATCTTAGTATGGATTGCAGGCAATATCACTGGCTCATTTTGGTATCTGCTGACCTTTCATTGCTCATACTTGCTTTTCGACCTACAGTAGGCCAGTCGGTGTTGTCAGTATTTCAGAAGATATCTCAAACCATGGTATTATACGGTAAATTAGTATTCATGACTTGTACCGACTGACACTTTCCTAGGTGTGGAGTGAACACCAGATAGAATGACTGTTTCGAGTTAATAAAAAGTAAACTGTTCATACTCTGTGTTGCAGTGTTACTAAACTGCATAAGCAAAATATTCCATTTGAAGTAGTGCTCATACCTTAGTCTAATATTCGGTCAGTAAAATTTACTGAAGTGATGCATAAGGGACGTGGTAAGTTGCCAAATCTCGCATATGCCAGATGAACAAATAAGAACCACAGATCTCCTAGGGGTCTGGTCGGTCTGGTGGCCTCATCTTTACCTTCACCTCACTGTAGAAGTCTTGTCGTGTGAATACAACCACACATCGAGTTTAAGAACGGCAACTTTTATTTCACAAAACAACGCATTCCTCTTCTTCGTTCGTACCGTCACTGAGCGAGGGCGAATTCTGTTCCGTTCGATTTTCGAACTGTTCCCGTTCCGCTCGTTGCCCTCCCAGGCACCGCACATCCTTACGAAGCAAAAGAAGACGTCTCCCGGCCTGTTACGAAAGCAGCAAAACGAGCGGTGTGAAAGCGGATCCCTCTCAGATGGACTTGAGACTCTTGCGACGATCAAAGCGGTATGAAACAATAATGCATTGCTGGTCGAAAACTAGATTTAAAGGCGCATCACAGTATCCTTTGCCTTTAATTGCCTAAGGGGGGGCGCATTTAAGCAGACCACGACTCCATGGCACTTGAGCACATGCGATGTAACTTGCATCTTGCGTCATTTCGTTTGCAAAAGTGATCTAGTCCTCATCACAAACCACGTTTCCAAAGTTGCATCTCCTTATGTGACACTGTCTAAACATTAAAGTATGTTAGATAACTCATGATTCCGCTAAAATCAGATTTCATCGTACCATGTTTAATGTATAAAACGGTTTGCTGTTATGAAAGTACAGTAGTACTGTTATGATACAGTAGTACTGTATATGGAATATACACGGCACTGTAACATAATAACGCGTCGGTATGTGGTACTGTAGCAGGATTTAAAGAGTGCTCTTTTAAAATGTAATGTACCGCAGCAATAATCCGTTGCAACTACAGTAGCCGTGGCGATCGTGGTTTACTAGTAAAAGACGTGAAACCGTTTATTGGTTTACGACTTATTTCCTGGTCAGAAAAAATCCTAAATCATTTGGCTTGAGTCTTTTGAATTGTCGATTGGCATAAACGCGGATCTTTGTTCCTGTGACTTCAAATGGGATTGTGCAATGGCCGTTGCTCAAAATCCACTGGTGTTTTGATTCCTCATAAACGATTTACTTTTTAATCGTTTTTAAAGTGTTCAGTTATTTTGTCGTGAAGCCGTTGTTGCTGTGATTGATTAGTCTTCTAAAATATGAAGTAATTTGAGAATCAGCCTGTTGGGGAAGGGGTTTCCATCGATGGTTGAGGTCGGGTAAAAGTTGTCAGAGGTCGGAAGATTTTAGCCTCATTTTCACCAGTTCAGACAGAGCATATCGCCTTTCAGCATAAAATGCACATTCTCAGAGTTTCAAGTTATTCTAAACACCATTTACGAGGGTCACCCTTAAATCTGCGATGTTCTTCGCAACATGTTCTGCTAGTTTAAGACGAATATTACATAGCAACAACAACAAACAGCAAAAGCTTTATTTAGAAAAATGATTCATTTGTAAATGGGTCAACATTTTTTTGCTGAAAAACATTGGGAGAAGCTGGGTGTGTTTTTTTTTCCTCGGCTGTAATAGTACACAACAAGATTCTGGTGTTGAGTTTCAGGGAGACTCGTCACTGCTGCATTTATAGTGTTTACTGAGCATCGCCAAATTCAGACAGATGCCTGCTGTGCAAATTCCATATGTTAATCGAATTCGCCGAAGCTGAGATTTTATTCATATAAACAGGTATGAATATAATTAACCTGTTATCGAAATCAGTGAATCGAAGAGAACAACATTAACGATAAAATTCTCTCGTTTTCAGATTTCGCTATTCCTCTCGATTTGAGAGTGTAATACCTCAGGGAATTTCCTTACCATCTGGGTCAATAAATTTTGTAGATTAGATTTCAGTGCACGAAAAGGTCGCATTCTCATTGCATTCGAGCCATCAACCATTTCCATTTTAGTTCCTTGCTCAGAATATCACAACTGGAAAAAGTTGATCTTGGAATGAACCACCCTGAAGTACTGTATAGCGGATTGTCGAGTTTCTTCACTCTCTTCCAACCTCTGAAGTTGTATCATTTCGGGTTTACACACTTTCAATCAAAATCCAAAACCCTTTAGCATAAGTGAGAGTGTACGCACACAAAATATTCAGCAGTATTTATAGTTAATAGCGTTCAAATTAAAGGGTATTGAAACGAGGGCAGAGGTCGATAACCTTCATACATCTGAAGGTCTAAAACTCGAGATCCAGTTCGTCGTCTGTGTCCTCAGGTTCGGCAGCTCCTCGACGTTGAAGGGCAGCTGTCATGGCATCCCTGGTTTTCTGTGAGGTTCCACAAAAGAACTGTTTCGCAACGATATTAAAGCTGCGATTGGTTAGCAAGTAAATGACCACGAGCAGACTTTTCACCGTGAGCCAGATTTCTTCGGAAAAGAAAAGAAATGAGCCCTCGCTGATGATTTTTCTGATCTCCTGCATCTGTAGCATCATTAACAGATATTGAGTCCCTGCGATGGTAATCGTGTCCAAAAATGTAGCACTGAACAACCAGACGCTTGTCGCCAGCTGGTCCATCCGCCGTCCACTTTGGCTGAAATGCCGTTTGAACAGATAGCAAGCGAACGACAGCGAAATGGACAACGTCAGGATATTCATGGACGCGGCCAGCTTCAGCGTAGTATTAATAACTTTAATCCTAGAGAACATGGCTACTCTGCAGTAGTTGGATGCAGTTACTTCGGTTGACATGACTGACGTCAAGACCAGCGGCACAGTTGTCACGAGGTCGAAACCAACGGTCAGTACGACCAGCTTCCATCTGTTGATGGTGGCAAGAAGACGCTCATGTAGCCGCGGTCTGAGGTTTTTCAGCAGAATATCGATCAGTTGGTAGAAGTATATCTTCGTCTGGAACAGATAGGTCAGCAGGTAAAGTACGGAATGAAGCTGAAAAAGACATTTCTTCGCCGGGTCCCAAAGGTCGAGCTTGACGTTCTTCGTCAGGTACACGTAGTAGACGACCAAACGCAGCTGCACGGCAAAGCACTTGAGGCAAGCACAGATGAGGATCGTCAGGACAAACGGATAGTGTCTTCGGAGAGAACGTCGAAACCAGAAGATGACGGTAAAAAGACATGCAACGGTAAAACAAATGGCATTGAAACACCACAAATACACGTATCCACTGACGGTGGTTTCGTAGCCATGAAACCTTAAGTGAGCCACCATCGCTTCGACAACCACGACGGAGAAGTGACGTGAAAATAAATTAGAACGTTCTGTTTATTTCCGGATTATAATGACATTGCTTTCGCTCATCATTTCTTCTAACAGACCGACTTCCTCAGACTCAATCTAATTATTATCTGTCTCGATAAGTCAGATGTCAACAGGGTCGCAACAGAAGCACTTGGGGGACACAAATAGGACTGGTGCAGAAATGCCTCATAAGATTTATGCGCGTTTTGCTTATGGTCAGAATTTTATGATCAGCTTGACAGCACATTTCAGTTGAACGTCACTTTGGGATTTGATAATCTACCGGCGGACCAGTATCAACTTTAAAACAAAATCTTGTATTCGCTTTCTATTTCATTGCATCATAACAAGCGGAATATGGCATAGAGCGTAGGAGTTCTCTATGCATGAGGTGATACGGCATGTGCGTAAGTCGCAGACGAGACATCAACGCATAACGGTTTTAATTAGAAGCACTTTACAACAGATATTGAAGTTTCGGACCAAGCTTAATCCGTCTTCAGAGTAACCATGAAATTTGCACGGATT